TCATGTGGACACTAAGAAAATATGATGTTATGTTAAAGAATGAAATTCTGATAACGGACGTAATTGACACTTTAGTCAAGTTCTTTGTCTTTAACTACTGAAAAAAGACCTTGAAGATTGCCCATTACGTTACATCTTTTCCTTCAAGTTCTTTGACTTGAGCTTCTGTGTGCTTACTGCTATTTCCTTTTACTTAGAACTAAATTTGGGCCAACTTTATTTCCTCATCTTTGGACCTGATTTCGGTATTTTTTATTAGAGGGGAAAAGTAAATGTATGATATTGTTAAATGCTACAAGTTTCATTGTTTCTTTAATTGTGTAATGCATAACTCGGAAACACATGATATATATATAGGCAACTCATGGTACATTACTTAAGTCCTTGAATAGTCTCCCCCTCTATTTTCACGCTCAGTAAGTAAAGATTTCTATAACTTCTTGATGTGGATAGTAATATTGTTTGTCCTCTCTCATTGACTAATGCTTGTATGCTAAGACTCATTGGCCTTAAGTAAGACATCTTTGTCTTGTATTCATTTCAAAGGATAGAGGTGGATCTCTTCAACTTATCTACCAGATCCATTAATTTCTTCTTTAGCATAATTACATCGCTTTTTCTTAGTGGAAGAATAAGGTGTCCCATCATTGGGTAGATTGCAGAAAATTTGTGTAGAATTTCTCAACAAAATGACAAACTTGAAAAGCACTGCCGACGTGTATCCCAATTTTGTTGAGAAATTCTACCCCATGATGTGGACACCATATATTCTTTCACTAGGAAAAAGTGCTTTTAAGTAAAAGTTGATGACCTGGTTCACACTCTAGTCAAGTTTTTTATCTCAATTTTTATTTTATTTTTTTCTATATCTAACAAGAACTAAGATAGTGTTGAATTCCAATACACGTTTCTGATTTAAAATTAGCATCCTATGAAATAATTTTACCCAGTTATAAATAGAGGATCTATGGTCACCTAGCTTTGCCAACCTCGTTAACTTCTTTCTTTTTTTAAGTTTCTGGAAATACAGTGGCAATTTGAAAATAATATTGAAATCTGACAACTTGCAAGAGGATAATGTGATGTTGAAATTCAATGCAATATATTTTCAAGTAGATTATATTTCAATCTACACCTATATACTAAACTAGCATATAATTTATATGAATTAATTGTTTAATTCTACACGACATGGATAAGTGCAATTAAATTTAAGCATTGATTTGATTATTGATATATTTTTTACTAGAAAAACCATAAACCAGTTAAATCAATTGAATTGATTTCTGAAAAGTTTAATTTAATCCAATCTATCAAACTAGTTCTTTAAATATTTGATCTAATCTCATCTTCGTAACTTAGTGAACTCAAAAATAAATAAGAAAATAAAGTTAGACTTAATTTATTAGGTTTAATCAATTAATTTAAATGTTTGGAACATTACCTAATTATATATATTTGAGTTTTGTCAATTAAGTATAAAATGTGTTTGGATGAAAGAGATTGATCTAAACCTAACTAAAATATTGATTTTTGCTTTAAATCATTAATAAATCCAAAAAAAAAGTTATTACTAATATTTAGAAAAAAGGAAATCAATTGTTAATTGTATAGAGATAAATATATGTATGATAGCCCTCCCATAGTCCCCACCATATAGCTATCTTTCGGCATATATATCATATGTTTGAACTAAAATCTATTAATCCGTGCAAGCAAAGCAATCAAAACACAAACAATTCATGCATAAACATGAGTATTACTTGGTTAATTATATTCTCTAACTATTCTCCTCAATAACATATTAACAATTTTCTCCCATTTATGGATCTTATTTCTTATTATTTAAAAGTTGAAAACAATTTGTAAATGATAAAATTTTAGCATAGTGTCCTGAAAAAAAATAGGTTCGTGTTATTGGCTTCAGATCATATTATAGTGATTAATGATATTTAGTTATTATTTAAGACTATTAATTAATTTCCCCCACTAGAGTAAGACTACTTAATTAAGTTTGAAATTAAATGACACTTACTTGTCCCCTAATTAGATGTGGAACGAAATCCAACAGCTCACAGTACTAGACATAAATACGTAAGAGACCAGGGAAACAGTGCAAATACCTCTTAAAGATTGTTGACAACCCCATTGCTTGTGATATTATGTAATGCACATCGTAATTCGAAAAACTCTGACATATATGGACAACTCATGATACACACCTTAAGGCTTGAAAAGTCTCCCACTCTTTTCACGCTCAGAAAATAAAATTTGTTAAACCTCTTGATGTTGATACTATCGTTGCTTGTCCTCTAGCATTGACAGATGCATGTATGCTCACCGTGTTAGGTTGACATAAAAGCGTCGTCTTGCATTCATATCTAAAAGTAATAGTCTGCAACGTCCATGCATGCCGTGCTTAAAAAAAACTTTAATTTTAAAACACGAGTGGACCACTTCAACTTAATAAGATCTAGCAGCTCTATTGTTCACATACTGTATTTGCAAGAATTTCCTTTGTTTTATTCTATGTCTGTTGTTTTGTTGAGATTTCACACATTATTTTCTGCAACTTGCCGGCCCCTTCATCATGTGGACACTAAGAAATATCATGTTATTTAGAACGTAGTTGACACTCTAGTCAATGTCTTTGTCTTTAACTACTGAAAAAGACCTTAACAGATACATTGAAACTTACAAGAATTGGTGCTTGAAGTCTTCAGCTTCGTTTATTCCATGTCGGTGTTTTGCTGAGATTTTCACACATGAATTTTCTGTAACTTTGGCAGCACCTTCATCATGATGTGACACTAAGAAAATATAATGTTATGTTAAAGAATGGAATTCTGATCACATACGTAATTGAGAGTTTAGTCAAGGTCTTTGTCTTTACCACGAAAAAAGACCTTGAAGATTGCCCATTACTTTACATCTTTTCCTTCAAGTTCTTTCACTTGCTTCTGTGTGCTTACTGCTATTCCTTTCGCTTAGAACTAAATTTGGGCCACCTTATTTCCATCTTTGGACCTGATTTCGGTATTTTTTATCAGGGAAAAGTAAATGTATGATATTGTTAAATGCTACAATGTTCTTTGTTTCATTATAATTAAAACTTTAATTCCGATGATAATAATAATAATCAGTGGTAGGTTAATTTGAGGGTTAAACACAAATTAACCCCTCCAAATTTTAATAAATAATATCAAAATATAATTTTAAGGGTGAAAAATATTATTATATGAATTTGAATTTTTTTTGTGGAACAGGGACGGGTCGCTTCAACCCTGATGATAATAACAATGAAAATAAGATGAACTTATAATATACAACATTGACATACATGTTCAAGCATCGGTATTTACAATATCCCAGATTGAATCAAACAGAATAAATACGCCTAGTTTGAGAATGCATGGCCTTGCTGAAACTAGACTAACAGAGGTACAAACATCTTAAAAACCCAGCTGAAGAAAGCATCTTTAGTCATGAAATTTTATGGCAGATGCCTTAGAGGACAGAAAACCTATAATCATCTAGTTCATCTTACGTAAAACTCTAGAACCATTATGTAAACCGAATACCTTCCACTAGTGTCAGAGATATGGTCTCAGAATTGAGCGGACAGATATCCTCCATTGATGTAAGTTTTCTTATGCACTCTGAATTGAATAAACTAGAGATCATGTGCAGATGGGTGGAAGATCCAAACCACTTTTTATCTGGGAAAGTTTGGGGCTGAGCTTCCTCTTGAATTCTGATCCAAGTTGTTCTAATTGGAAATCGCTGCCTAGATCTAGGATCTGAGATCACTTCTTGAATGATGGTTTGTGATTCAAGCATGCTAACCACCTCTGACATAGTAGGCCTCAATGTCGAGATGCATTACACATAACACCACTTGTACCTTTCTTTCAGCCTTCCTTTGTCAAACTTATACTCCAACTTAGATCCAATATCTCCATCAAGTTTCATTTCTGTTGCAAATTAACGCTGCAAGCATCCAAGCCAAAATACAACAACATATATATATATATATTTTAAAACCATGGATTGCAACAATCACTAATCACACGAATTTACCCACTCAAAAGGCAAACACATACATTTTGTGCCCCGTAATTGCATTGCTTCTCCCACACCTGAACCATTAACAATCCAATTAACCAATCATAGAAATTATTCCTTTATGCAAAAGCAATTCAAAAATCAAAATAAACATCTGATATCTTAGCATTTAATTCCCAGTCAAGTATTATTTTCAAGGTACTTGTTGCCCAGTCCAATTTCAAGGTACTTGCCCCTGAACCTACTAACAATCCAATTAACCAATCAATAGAAACTATTCCTTTATGCAAAGCATTCAAAATCAAATAAACATCACCGTGCTTACCAACAAGCATGTGCAAGACAGTTATTTTCTATGTACTCATAAACCAACAATAACTAATTTCCTTCAACACAATATCCAAAGAGCTTGACAAGATTTGGCTGTTGCAAACCAAAATCATGCCTATCTCATTCACAAACTCAATTTCCTTGCCTTGATGGGAAGAAAGCTACTTCACAGCAACAACGAGACCACTGATAATGGGCCTTGCATTGAGTAATTATTATATGTACACATTCATATCCAGTCTTACACTAATGTTGAGTTAGTGATTAAATGCTAAAACTGACTAACCAAGGTAGTAATGAAATCCAACTAGAGTTTCTGAATTAAACAACTAAGATAAACTAGTGGTATCAAATGAACCAAAATACCTTAAGAGTGAAGATATATAATAAGTGTATTACTTCCACATATATTCAAAATAGCACGTTTGAACTAATTAGAGAATTTTTTAACCAGGTTGAGAAAGAAACTAAGACGAGGTTGTCTTTTACTTGTTTTGTTGAACCCGGAAGCTAATACAAAGCCACATGATAAAATTTAATATAAGATAATACTTCATGATAAAAATTCAACAAGCCATTTGAAAATACAGACTTTAACTCCATTGCTAAATGAAATCTGGGTGTACTTCTGTGCTACTGATTTCTCCTTCCAACTTGTTAAAGGTCAAATCACTGTATAAAAATAGTAGGAAAATGAACATATAGTCAAAATATGTTGTCAAAAGAAACCTTACATCATTAAGCATCCTAGAAATAGTAGCAAACTTTAAGTGCAAAAAGCAGAACATAGTACAGAAAAGCATATGGACATAAATACATACTCAAATCCTAGAGTTACAGGAAACACTCTCCCTGGTAGTCCTATAAACTCTTAGCTAAAGAAATCAAACTTGCAAAATACCATTAAAACTCAATAAGGATGATATGCATCCAAACCATATCTCACTCATAAGGATGATATGCATCCAAACCATATCTCTTCTAGTTACCATCACTAAATCGGTTCTTAAGTTAACATTTCAGCTTCTTCATTTGCGCCTCCATGTGCAAATATGCAAATGACCATTCCTTGCATCAGCAACAACCATATTGCTTTCTTTACAATTTATTGATCATGGTTATTCCACATCTACATAAAGCCAACAATGATGTGGCAAATACTCAAAAACAATGCATGGACATACTTTTAGACAGAGAATTTCCATGCCCAAGTAACTTTGTGTCCCTTTTAGAATGCAAAAACCATCTGCATATAAAAAACTTTCTTTCGTATGGGTCATCCCTTATGGTTATATCTAAAATGTAGAAACCAGCAGTCAACTACCATACAACTTATCATACTATTTTTGGCTAACATGAAAGTTTTCTATCTCCTGTATTAAAGCGAAACATGTGACAATCATGGGGTTATTCATTACCATGGAAATTTCAAGTATTCTTTGGTTAGTCTATGTTCTCCTAGATTTAATGTGACTCTGCACGGTCCTTAAATTTCTCTAATCAGTAAACGATACAAAGTTAGAAACAGAATATATAAAAAGCAATGAATGTACCTGATCTAAAGAGATCAATAAAGTTTATGCTTACAGTACATGCAGGTTGCTGATTTCCCAAATTTTTTTAGGGATAGATCCAGACATATTCAAGCATCTCAAAACCCTAAAGAAACATTTGATATTATTTAATGGCTCTAATTGCATATGCTTTACTACTAAGAGTAAAAATATTAATAATTCTGGAAACATATAACTAATTAGAAACAGTAAGCATACACGTATTTAATGTTCTTGTTGCTCAAATTTGGAAATTTGAACTTTGGCCCGTTTATATCACTGATTCTCCTGTTTACAGAGAAGATAACATTAACTATAATGGAACATTCAACTCCTAACAATCAATTAGATGAGAGACAAATGGCAAAGAGTTGAAGAAGATCCTTCTACTCACAGGTCACTCAAATTTCCCAGACCAAAAATGGAGTACGGGATAGGTCCTTCCAGTCCACATGAATGCATTTCTCTTTAATATTTCAACAAAACAAAAGGGAGGGCAATAAATCTGTAAATCAGGATCCACCATACAGATAAATTCTGTAACAGAATAATATGTAAAAGATGAAGTCCTTACAGCCTTTGGAGACTAGTCCATCCCCCAATAAATTCTGGTATAGTGCCAGTAAAGTTATGATCACTTATTCTAAAGCAGACAACAAAGTGAAAGGTATATTGTTAATATTTAACCATCTAGATGAGAGGAGAAACGAAACAAGAGTACTTACAAATCTGTCAAGTTCTTTAGGTTTCCTAGTGACCTAGGAAAGTCTCCAGAAAATCAATTGGCAGAAAGTATCCTGAAACTATAAATCGGGCACCAAACCACAGTAAACATATGTTTGTTTTTAAAATTCTATTATATTGGACACATATTATACTTTCAATATTAAGAATTATGATATCATACAAAGTAATTAATTGGACCAAATAGCCAAGCTCTGGAGGGATGGTTCCATTCAATTGGTCGTCATCAAGGCACCTAATTTTGTTTTTACGATAAAAAAAATGATGAGAAATAAACAAGAATAGCATTGACTAGAAAAACAGAAGCATTGAGATTTTAAGGATTGAAGCATACAAGCCACTGATGAGATTGTTAAATGATCCCCACTCAGTGGGAATTTCCCTCGTTAAACGGCCGCTGCATAAGAATGTTTGTTCATGATAAACAAGTGATCCTTAATTATAAGTTTCAAAGAAGAACAACAGAGATAAGTGTACTTACATTTTATTCAAATGCTGCATGAAGCCCATTGCCTTGGAAGTGTGCCATTAAGGTAATTGCAGGAAAGATCACTATTAAGAAGAAGGAGATGAATAATTAAAGTACCAATCAGACAAATATTCACAAAACCGCATGCCATGTGCTTTCACTTAGTCCAAATTCCAGTAAATATACTCCAGTAAACGCATTACCTATATCCAAATTTTAAAGAAAAAGAACACAAATCAGTGTTTTGTTGTTTTCAACAAATATACAGTTTCATGGTTAAAATTGTGCAACCATCTTTTGAGTATTATAATCAATTTTAAAGAAACAGAAAGTTGCTTATGAAAATAAAATAAATATTGATATCAAATCAGAAAACAAAACAAATCCTAAATAATAAGGGCTAGCCCTTCAAATTAGCGAGATGATATTAGTGCCGAAGTGAACTAAACATGAAAATAGTTCTTACATTTCTTCGAGAAATAGACGATGGATCAGTTCTGTTCGAATCGTGCCTGGAAGACTCAAATATTTGAATCATCTGCAATTAAAAGGAATAAATTAGAATACAATTCCATTACAATTACAAAGCTTGAAATCACTTTGGACCGTAGAAGTAATTTCCATTAAACAAAAATAGTCAGTTTTGAATGTAAATTCTCTTAACATTTGTATAGAGTAGAATAATTGAAGCGGTTCAATTATTTGATTATTGTTCGTGAAGATAAATAAACTGAATTGAATCAATTAAAATTTATCTAACACGAAACCAATTAATTGAAAAGGCGCTTACATGATTGTGATGTGAGAGAAGTTGCCAATAATGCGATTACAAGCGATCAAGTTGATCTGCAGATTAGTTGACAGGGGAGTGGCTAAAGGGAGCTTCAGTGATTGGCAAGGATCCTCAATGGTAATCATGAGTCTGGCGCTCATTTTCGCAGCTATTTGTAGCACAACCACTACATATGAGTCGTTGCCGCTAATCACTCTTCGAATACAAAATGTTTCAAAACCTTACCCTTTTTTTCTTTTTTCTTTTTGAGTGAACAAGTCTACCCACCCAAGGTTTGGCGATTCTACAAGTTCCCACCCATGGTTTCATCGATTTTATATTCTAACACTATATAAAGTGCTATTACTATACTGTTGTTAACAAATAAATTAATAAATTAATTTTTAATCTCCAAATTAGATTTAGAAAAATCATCTTACTTTCAAATATTTTTCAATAACACCCTATTCTTCAATTTTTATAAAAAAATCTAAAACCCTAAAGAGAGGGGGATGGTGACCGATGGGCTAATGGGGTTAGGTTGGTGGGAATTTTGGAAAGCAGATGCCGAAGAAGCGATGGGTGGTGATGAGGTCAAAACCACGTTTTATCTAAGGAAAGTTTGGGGCTGAGCTTCCTCTTGAATTCTGATCCAAGTTGTTCTAATTGGAAATCCCTGCCATAGATGCTAGGATCTGAGATCAATTCTTGAATGATGGTTGTGATTCAAGCATGCTAACCACCTCTGACATAGTGTGGCCTCAATGTCGGAGATGCATTAAACATAACAGCCCACTTTACCTTTCTTTCAGCCTCTTCCTTGTCAAACTTATACTCCAACTTTAGATCCATAATCTCCATCAGTTTCATTTCTGTTGAAATTAAAGTCTGCAAGCATCAAGCCAAAAATACAACAACAATATATATATATTTTAAAACCATGGATTGCAACAATCAAATATCACACGAAATTTACCCATCCAGAAGGCAAACACATACATTTTGTGCCCCGTAAATTGCATGCTTCTCCCACACTGAACCTATTAACAATCCAAACCAATCAATAGAAATTATTCCTTATGCAAAAGCAATTCAAAAATCAAAATAAACATCTGATATCTTAGCATTTAATTCCCAGTCAAGTAGTATTTCAAGGTATGTTGCCCAGTCCAATTTCAAGGTACTTGCCCCTGAACCTACTAACAATCCAATTAACCAATCAATAGAACTTCCTTTAGCAAAGCAATTCAAAAATCAAAATAAACATCCCCGTGCTACCAACAAATGCATGCAAGACAGTTATTTTCTATGTACTCATAACCAACAATAACTAATTCCTCAACACAATATCCAAGAGGCTTGACAAGATTTGGCTGTTGCAAACCAGAAATCATGCCTATCTATTCACAAACTCAATTTCCTTGCCTTGATTTGAAGAAAGCTACTTCCAGCAGCAACAACAGTACCATCTGATAATTGGCCTTGCATTGAGTAATTATTATTGTACACATTCATATCCAGTCTTACACTAATGTTGAGTTAGTGATTAAATAGCTTAAAACTGACTAACCAGGGTTAGTAATGAAATCCAACATAGAGTTTCTGAATTAAACAATCTAAGTAAACTAGTGGTATCAATAGAACAAAATACCTTAAGAGTGAGATATATATAAGTGTATTACTTCCACATATATTCAAAATAGCACGTTTGAACTAATTAGAGAATTTTTAACCAGGTGAGAAAAGAAAACTAAAGACGAGGTTGATCTTTACTTGTTAGTTGGTGAACCCGGAAGCTAATACAAAGCCACATTAAAATTTAATATAAGATAATACTTCATGATAAAAATTCAACAAGCCATTTGAAAATACAAGACTTTAACATGTCATTGCTTAAATGAAATCTGGGTTTACTTCTGTGCTACTGATTTCTCCTCAACTTGTTAAAGTCAAATCACTGTATAAAAATAGTAGGAAATGAAAATATAGTCAAAATATGTTGTCAAAGAAAACTTACATCATTAAGATCCTAGAATAGTACAAACTTTAAGTGCAAAAAGCAGAACATAGTACAGAAAAGCATATGGACATAAATACATACTCAAATCCTAGAGTTACAGGAAACACTCTCCCTGGTTAGTCCTATAAACTCTTAGCAAAGAAATCAAACTTGAAAATCACATTAAAACTCAATAAGGATGATATGCATACAACCATATCTCAACAATAAGGATGATATGACACCAAACCATATCTCTTCTGTTACCATCACTAAATCGGTCTTAAGTTAACATTTCAGCTTCTTCATTTGCGCCTCCATGTGCAAATATGCAAATGACCATCCTTGCATCAGCAACAACCATATTGCTTTCTTTACAATTTATGATCATGGTTATTCCACATCTACATAAAGCCAACAATGATGTGGCAAATACTCAAAAACAATGCATGGACATCTTTAGACAGAGAATTTCCATGCCAAGTAACTTTGTGTCCCTTTTAGAATGCAAAAACCATCGCATATAAAAAACTTTCTTTCGTATGGGTCATCCTTATGGTTAATCTAAAATGTAGAAACCAGCAGTCAACTACCATACAAACTTATCATTAATTTTTGGTAACATGAAAGTTTCTATCTCCTGTATTAAAGCGAAACATGTGACAATCATGGGGTTATTCATTACCATGAAATTTCAAGTATCTTTGGTTAGTCTATGTTCTCCTAGATTTAATGTGACTCTGCACGGTCCTTAAATTTCTCTATCAGTAAACGATACAAGTTAGAAACAGAATATATAAAAAGCAATGAATGTACCTGATCTAAAGGATCAAAAGTTTTATGCTTACAGTACATGCAGGTTGTGATTTCCCAAATTTTTTAGGGATAGATCAGACTGAAAGAGATTGATCTAAACCTAACTAAAATATTGATTTTTGCTTTAAATCATTAATAAATCCAAAAAAAAAAAAAAAAAAAAAAGTTATTACATGAATATTTAGAAAAAAGGAAATCAAATTGTATAATTGTATAGAGATAAATAATATGTATGATAGCACTCACATAGTCCCACCAATATTAGCTATCTTTCGGCATATATAATATCATATGTATTAAGACTAAAATCTATTAATCCGTGCAAGCAAAGCAATCAAAACACAAACAATTCATGACATAAACATATGAGATTACTTGGTTAATTATATTCTCTAATCTATATCTCCTCAATAACATATTAACAATTTTCTCTCATTTGGATCTTATATTTCTTTATTATTTAAAAGTTGAAAACAATTTGTAAATGATAAAATTTTAGCATAGTGTCCTGAAAACAAAATAAAAGGTTCGTGTTATTGGCTTCAGATCAATAAGTTGATAGTGATTAATGATATGTTAGTTATTAGTTAAGACTATTAATTAATTTCCCCCACTAGGAGTAAGACTACTTAAATTAAGTTTGAAATTAAATGACACTTAACTTGTCCCCTAATTAAGATGTGGAACGAAATCCAACAGCTCACAAGTACTAGACATAAATACGTAAAGAGACCAGGGAAACAAGTGCAAATACTCTCTTAAAGATTGTTGACAACCCCATTGCTTGTGATATTATGTAATGCACATCGTAATTCGGAAAAACTCTGACATATATGGACAACTCATGATACACACCTTAAGGCTTGAAAAGTCTCCCCACTCTTTTCACGCTCAGAAAATAAAAATTTGTTAAACCTCTTGATGTTGATACTATCGTTGCTTGTCCTCTAGCATTGACAGATGCATGTATGCTCACACGTGTTAGAGTTGACATAAAAGCGTCCGTCTTGCATTCATATCTAAAAGTAATATGTCTGCATACGTCCATGCATGGCCGTGCTTAAAAAAAAAACTTTAATTTTAAAACACAGAGGTGGACCACTTCAAACTTAATAAAGATCTAGCAGCTCTAATTGTTCACATACTGTAATTTGCAAGAATTTCCTGTTGTTATTCTATGTCTGTTGTTTTGTTGAGATTTCACACATTATTTTCTGCAACTTGGCCGGCCCCTTCATCATGTGGACACTAAGAAAATATCATGTTATGTTAAAGAACGTAGTTGACACTCTAGTCAATGTCTTTGTCTTTAACTACTGAAAAAAGACCTTACAAGATACATGTGAAACTTACAAGATATTGGTGCTTGAAAAGTCTTCAGCTTCGTTTATTCCATGTCTGTTGTTTTGCTGAGATTTCACACATGAATTTTCTGTAACTTTGGCAGCACCTTCATCATGTGGACACTAAGAAAATATAATGTTATGTTAAAGAATGGAATTCTGATCACATACGTAATTGAGAGTTTAGTCAAGGTCTTTGTCTTTAACTACAGAAAAAAGACCTTGAAGATTGCCCATTACGTTACATCTTTTCCTTCAAGTTCTTTCACTTGAGCTTCTGTGTGCTTACTGCTATTTCCTTTCGCTTAGAACTAAATTTGGGCCAACTTTATTTCCATCTTTGGACCTGATTTCGGTATTTTTTATCAGAGGGGAAAAGTAAATGTATGATATTGTTAAATGCTACAAGTTTCTTTGTTTCATTATAATTATAACTTTTAATTACCGATGATAATAATAATAATCAGTGGTAGGTTAAATTTGGAGGGGTTAAACTACAAATTAACCCCTCCAAATTTTAATAAATAAATATCAAAATATAAATTTTAAGGGGTGAAAAAATATTATTATATGAATTTGAATTTTTTTTGTGGAACATGGACGGGTCGCTTCAACCCTGATGATAATAACAATGAAAAATAAGATGAACTTATAATATACAACATTGACATAACATGTTCAAGCATCGAGTAATTTTACATATCCCGAGATTGAATCAAACAGAATAAATACGCCTAGTTTGAGAATGCATGGCCTTGCTGAAAACTAGACTAACAGAGGTACAAAACATCTTCAAACCAAGCTGAAGAAGCATCTTTAGTCATGAAATTTTATGGCAGATAGGCCTTAGAGGACAGAAAACCTATAATCATCTAGTTCATCTTACGTAAAACTCTAGAACCATTATGTAAACCGAATAACTTCCACTAGTGTTCAGAGATATGGTCTCAGAATTGAGCGGACAGATATCCTCCATTGATGTAAGGTTTCTTATGCACTCTGAATTGAATAAACTAGAGATCATGTGCAGATGTGGTGGAAGATCCAAACCNTGGCATATTACACAATAACCTCCCTTACTGTCAATTTCTGTCGTTAAAACTAACTGTGCTAAGGGT